AAAGGTTTCTGTAATTCTCATCCTTATATACTGAGAAAATTTTATTTCACAAATGTTTTCCATCTTCTCCATCTCTGCTACCTACTCCCTGGTGTACATCTCTTGGAATGACAAAATCTTAAATTGACCTCTAAGTCTTTGGTCCTGACCACCTTTGGTTTCTTCTCCATTTTATTTCCTGATTCATCTGTCTAAAATCAAACACAGCCACCTTTCTTCCCTGCCTAGTAACATTTAACAGTTCTCCAACTGATATCCATGGAAAGGGATATCTGAAAGAGCCATAAGTCCTATTTAACAATCTTAAAATTTCCTGTATTTTGTTGAAACAGTAAAGCAAAACTATACTCATCTGAATCATTAACATTTTCACCTAGTAACAATATTGCCATTGACTTGACATCAGTGCCCAAGACTAAATTTGGATTTATAGTGGGACCTCATAGTGCTAAAGCACGCAGTATAAATAAATGGGTTTTTTTTTACATTATTTGTTAGTAAAAGTCTGGTGACAATGGATCATATAATACATGCACAGTCATGCAGAAGTCAAAAGAACCTGCACATAATATTTGGTATCATACCAATTAATACCAATTCATTGTCAAAACATGCTCCATTCTACATACCAAATAGCTATAGTTCTGTATCAATAGACATGTTAGAATATAACAAACTGTCTTTTAAATCCAGTTCTGAATATAAGTTGACTAGATAATCGCTTAATGTAAAATTAAATAATGCCATAAAGTTAATTTTCAATAAACAAAAGTTCTTAAAGTTTTCAAGGAATGCTATTTAAATGGACCTTCAAAGCCTAGGAGAATAACAGCTTGCCTTAAGATTTAGGTTAGGTTATCCTGACACAGCAATTAAATATTTGAAGTCTATAACAGCATTTTGACAACATACTTTTGCAAAAAGTCTTTTAGATTAGAATACATTTTTTCATATTTAATAAATAACATAGCCCCAAGTTCAATGATTTTTGACCTAGAAAAATATCAAATATTTGTTTTCATTTTTTGTCATTATATTAAGGGCTACAGTAATGACATACCACAAACTAGGTATCTTAAAACAATGGAAGCTTATTCTTTCACAATTCTGGAGTTTAGAAATTCAAAACCAAGGTATTGGCAAGGTGAATTCCTTCTGGAAGTTCTGAGGGTAAATCTGTTTCCTACCTCTCTTAGTTTCCTATTGCTACAGTCAATCCTTGGCATCCCTTGGCTTGCAGCTGTCTCTGCCCCATTAGCATGCAGAATTCTCCCTTTGTGTTTTTGTCTCTTTGTCCCAAATTCTCTTTTCATTTAAGGATATCAATTATTGGAGTTGGGTCCATCTCAAACCATGAGGACTTTGTCTTTATTTGATTATACCTGTAAAGACTCTATTTCCAAATAAGGTCACATTCACAGGTACCAGGGATTAGAACTTCAAAATATATTTTGAGGGTACACAATTTAACCTAGAAGAATCATACCAAGAAGTATAAACATGAAATTTTAACCTAGTCTTATTTTTAACATATTTGCTATTATGAATAAAAATAAAATAAATCATTATTAGGGTTCTGAAATCTTTTCCTTTAAAAGAACTCTGTATGTTATTTAAGTGTGAAAAAAACATTGTCTTAGACCTGGTAATGCTGTAATCCCAACAGCTTGTGAGGCCAACATAAGAAGATCACAAGTTCAATACCAGCCTCAACAACTTGGCAAATTAGCAAGAACCTGTCTCCCAATAAAAAATATAAAAATAGCTGGGGATGGGACTCAGTGGTTAAGTGCCCCTAGGTTCAATACCTGGAGAAAAAAAAAAAAACACTGACCTAAAGTTCAAAACCTCTGCTTGCTATTATGTCACAGTGGACCTTCAGCAGCCTTGTCCTGGCCTTCTCCACTGCTATCCTCCACAACTGTTTCCCTTCTTACATTTTATCTTTCAGCAAAATAGAAGACTGTTTATAATTTCTCAACACATACAACATTATTTTATGCTTCATTAAACTTGTTCATGTTCTACCTCTTCCAACTTCCCCATCCCCCAGCTATGTATGTCCTATATATCCCTCATCACTTCCAACTCAGTGTCAGTTCAACTGCCATGTTTTAATGAAAGTCTTCTGGGAAGATCATGCCCCCTCAGCATCACCACCAGCTCCATACACTGAGCAAAGTGGCCACTGTTGTGGAATCAGGGCTCTCATTTCCTGCACATCTCCTTCCCAATAGACCATGAATTCCATGATGTCAAGAACAGTGTCTTCCCCAATTTTAGTCTCTTGCTCTTACTAAAGTGGTCATCTAAATATTAAAAGATTGTGTATCTAGATGGGATAGGAAGAGTTCTAGCCAGTTTTTACTTACAGGGAAGTTTCCATAACACTGCATGCATTCTAATTCATACTTATGCCATAGCATGTATTGTGTGAGAGGTTGACATCAGAAGCATGTCAATTAAGCAGTGAGGAAGCTCAGATAAATATCTGTCTTTAAAAATGACTTCTTTGAGTCTCTTTGAGTGATTGTGTAACCCTTTTTATGGGGAAAAGTGTGAATTTAGGGATTTATTAAGAACTAAGCAGTTTAAGCCAGCTATGGTGGCACACATCTGTAATACCAGTGGCTCAGGGGGCTGAGGCAAGAGTATCACAAGTTCAAAGCCAGTCTGGGCAACTTAGACCCTGTCTCAAAATAAAATTTCAAAATTTTAAAAGGACTAGGGATGCTGGTCATATGTATTGCTATATTCACCCCTTACTTGGCAGCCTTCCTACTCAAAGACAGAGAAGAACAGAAAAGGCGAGAATGTGGTTATTCTTGTAGCCCTCTGAATGTGGTAGACTTGATTGTGGATATTATGTTTATCATAGATATTCTAATAAACTTCAGGACTACTTATGTGAATCAGAATGAAGAAGTGGTAAGTGATCCTGCCCGGTGGTAGAGCATGCCTGAGTTGAATCCCTAGTACAAGGTAGAAAGGGAAAGGAAGGGAAGGGGAAGGGAAAGGAGAGATAAAGATCTAAGCAACTCAAAAGTTTCACCTTGTTTTGCTAGAATACTCTGTATTCATAGGTGGGTCTACTGGAAGAGAACCTGGAAAGATAAAACAGGTCCATATTTTTAGATGACTTTGAAAGCCAAAATAAGGTTTTGGATTTTACCTTGTGCAACCTGACAACCTGTGTAGCCCCCTGGTGATTGAGAAAGGGACATTACATGATGTAATACCACCTTAAGAGGTGATCCATTCTTCCAGACCAAAATGTCATGCCACCCATTTTCTAATCTAAACACAATGGGATCAGAGTTCTATTAATCTGCACTTATTAACTAATAGACAATACAAACATTTTTCCTATTAGGATTCTGAAACTTGTATACTTATATATTTGCATATCTTAAATTCTGAGGATTTTCAATATTTCATGAATATGAAATCATTTTATCTTCCATATTTTTCTTTTGCCAATAATTAGCTCCTGTCATCTCCTATTAGCTTAAAATATAGTCCTATATCCTCCATACACTGGTTGGTTCAGATTTACTCTGGGCTGATTAATGATCAGGTCCAAATTTTTATTCATTTTTTTAATGTATTAAATCAATTTGACATGTAAAAGCAGTTTTAACTATTTTACCTGGATTCTTGTGTTATATTTAAGTTGCGTTTTATCTCATTTGGGACTAACATCTCAGGTCCTTCGTAAATAGGGATGGTAACTTGTTATAGGATGGGAAAACTATGAGATATAACAATAAAAGTGATTCAAAATTGATATTTTCCAAGATAGTTCATTACTCTGGTCAAGATAAAACCAACATGGATAGAATTGCCAAAAACACACAAAACTCTCTGTCTAACCAACAGGGGATTACTTCAGATCCATGACTCAAAGCCCATGATGCATCAGCAGTTTAGATGAATGTAGTCTAAGAAAATGTTCTTGGCAACATTAACATTTCAAATGGAGCCATTGGTATGTATAGGGCATTGATAGTGTGACACTATAAACTCACAATTCCCTTAAAATGGCTCTCTATCTGCCACTGTGTAGCTATATAACCTTTCTATTTGACTTTGGTTTTTGAAATTCATCTAAAATCCCAAAATCATGGATTTGTCTACTTAGCAGGGTACAACTCAAGTTTACCTCTTATTTTTTCAGATAAACTAAAACTCTAAAAGGGGAAACTGTTTTGGTTTACCCCTTGCCTTATTAAGTAGAATAAAACTTAAGACGTTTGTATCCCTTGGTGGCTAAGAATCTTGCAACATTTCCATATCAATATTCTGAACATCTACTAGCAGCATTTTCTTTTTATGATTCTCTAAATTTCATGGAAAAGTTTGGATGAAAGTATATTCAACCCAGACATAAAATACCCTCTTACCATTTAGGGAAAAGACTGCTTTTTGTTTATTTTAATCTGTTTTATGTGCTCCCTTACCCCATGCTAAAATCAAATTACAAGTGAGAAAATTTGCATAAGTAAAGATTTAAATAAATTGTAGTTAATTTATCAAAGTTTAACATAAATCAAGTATAGGTAAACCGAACATGAGACCATGGATCCAAGTATATTTTTTATGTTCATTATAGTCAGTCTGTTCCTAGATTTGAAAACTGAATTATTACTTATATCAAAACTGATTTTAGGGTTTTTTTAAAAACAGTCATTTAATTTTAATTCTGTGAAGTAATGTGTTTCAAAGGAAACAATAACCCTTCCTCAGTATTTCAGGAATAATATTATTACTTTGCAGTGAATTTATCCAGAAATACCAGTGAGGTTTTTTTGAAGTGAATATAAAACATTGTTGCAGTTTATATGAATTTCATTTAAATGGACTTCCTGTTTTCATATGTACATCAAAATTACATGAATTCTTTCTAATAGATTTTGCTATATAATTTCCTTCATTTTTATAGGTTTCATATTAAATAATGATATTTTTATGTAGTATGTGTTTTTCTTTTCTGTGATTAGGTCCTTTCTTTGGGAGCAGATGTCCTACCAGAATATAAACTGCAGACACCACGAATCAACAAGTTTACAATATTGCACTACAGCCCTTTCAAGGCAGTCTGGGATTGGCTTATTCTGCTGTTGGTCATATACACTGCTATATTCACCCCCTACTCGGCAGCCTTCCTACTCAATGACAGAGAAGAACAGAAAAGGCGAGAATGTGGTTATTCTTGTAGCCCTCTGAATGTGGTAGACTTGATTGTGGATATTATGTTTATCATAGATATTCTAATAAACTTCAGAACTACTTATGTAAATCAGAATGAAGAAGTGGTAAGTGATCCCGCCAAAATAGCAATACACTACTTCAAAGGCTGGTTCCTGATTGACATGGTTGCAGCAATTCCTTTTGACTTGCTGATTTTTGGATCAGGTTCTGATGAGGTAAGAGCGGCTTAAAAAAATCTTATTTTCTGAAAGATTGCAATTATAAAAGTAAATCTACTTTCATTTAAAAATGGTTGCTTTACATACTTTCTGTATTGCACAGATGAAATTCATTTTCACTTTGAAATGTTATAAAATGAAATGGAACTATTTTTCCATTGCAAATAATTTAAATTCCTTATATTTTTGCTAAGAGATGCAAAATACATTCCATTCTTTAACCAATAAGTTAAGCTTTGAGACACATAACACATAGCACATTCCCAGGATGTAAAATGTCTACATATTAAGTTTGTGGGTGTAAAACTGTCAAACATTAAGAATGTTGCTTTCCTTCTTATTATTGTAGTTTGGTTCTTCAGATTATGTGGAAGAAAGAATCTTCTGAAATGTCTTGTGCAAAACCCCTATCTCTTAAATAACATCCATGCTCATATGTTCCAAATATCTTATAAAATTGGAAATTTAAAGAAATATGAGTTGTGTATGCATATTGAGTGATTTGGGGGGATAGAGGGTCGATAATTATAATCAGATTCTGAAAGGATTTTTTCATCCAAAAAATTAAGTTCTCCAAAGGGCCCCCCCATTTAATTGCCCCCATTTTTTTTATAAATTCCCTGGGTTGAATACTATTAAAATTACAAAAGGTCTGAAAGTAGTTCTAAAGCAGTATATTAAGAAAAAATGAACTCAATGTGTTGATTTTTTTTTTCTTTTTCTTTCTTTTTTTTTTTGGTAGTGGTAGGAATTGAACCCAGGGCCTTGTGCATACAAAGCAAGCACTTCATCAATATCTATATCCCCAATCCAATGTGTTGAATTTTTAAAAAGGTAGTATCTTTTCTGCCTAAAAACAATACATCATCTCTTGTTGTTATTGTTGTTTTTAAGTAAGTCTACATATAGTAGCCTTTGAAGGCCTCAGACAAGAGACTCTTTCTGCCATGGAGAATCAATAGGTATAGATTTTAACATTCTTTTTCCTGCAGAAAAAGAATTCTTCTCACCTGCTGGTGAAACTGTGGGTCAGTTAAGAGCAGAGTAGTGGAAGATGATATTCTTGCTGGATTCTGCAAATATTAAACAAAGTCCCAAGTCTGACTTTCTTCATCAGTAAAGAATAATAATGTTACCTTCTTCTCTTCAGTCATTGTTTTTAAGACTTTAATGAGGTAATACATGTGCAAATCAGCAAAGTCCTAAAAAAAATATATCAACTGCCACTAAAGTAGATAAAGTTTTAATAGCTATTCTTTTCAGTTTTAACTAAAGAAAAGGAAGGGAAATATTTCATAATTATCTGAGTTTCTTTCAATGGAAGATCCATGTAATCACATCACAATAGTCCACACTGACAAACAATAGAATAAAACTTCATTTTTTCCAATGTTAAAAAATATACACCAATAGCAAATTAAAATTTAAATAAATTAATGAATAAGCAAATGGAATTCTTAGGGGAAAGTGATATACTCATTGTATTCAATCAATAATCATTAAATCAGTGAATATTTAGGTATGCTTATTATCATCATTAATTCTAATTTATAGAATTTTTTAAATATTTATTTTGTAGGTGTTGATGGACACAACACAATGCCTTTATTTTTATGTGGTGCTGAGAATCAAACCCGGGTCCCGCCCATGCTAGGCGAGCCCTCTACCGCTGAGCCACAATCCCAGCCCTAATTTAAAGAATTAAGTACGAGTTTGGTTTAATTTCAGTTAATATTTCACTTGAAAATAATAAAATTGCATTAAAACATGTAATTCAGACAATCACTGTTTCAAACAGGACTTCCTTTGAATAATCTGAAACAAGAGAGTATTTATGAGATTCACCTCAGTTACAGGATGAAATAGTTTTGTGAAAAGAGGAAGCCTAGACCACATCTCTTATGAACTGTCAAGGAAAAGGCGAATTTTGCCTCACAGAGACTGAGGCCACCCCACAGTTCATGAAGAATTTCATGAGCACCCCTATGTTCTCATAGCTGCTACTCAGTCTGTTTAAGAAGTGGAATGATATGGGAAAGATGATGGCTTTGGAGTCAGATAGGCCTGGGTTTGATTCTCTTCTGTGCCACTTACTTGATGTTATGTAATCTATTTAAGACTTTATTTGTTTTCTGTAAAATAGTTAAAAATGAGTTCTTGTGATTTTTTAAAAAATAAGTTGAATTTATATGAAAAGACTAGACCAGGTGAAGTTACATAGTAATTTTTTGCTAGTGGTTCCTTCTCTTCCTCTTCTACTCTTTGGATTAATATCTCTGATAGCTAATAAAAATCTCCCTTTAAAAACTTATATCAAATCACATTAATCCACAAATTTAAATAAATTTAATTCCATCAATTTATTTAACAAATAAAAACTGTTAATGTGTATTCATGTGTTAATGTTGATAAATTACATTAACAGTGTTAATGTACAACAGTTATTACATTAACCAGCTGCAACTTAAAGGAATTCTGAAGAAATGAGAGAGCAAAAGAAAATGGTTTTGAGTATAGTAACTGGGTTGTAAAGAAAAGGAACACAGAATATGATGGGGTGAAGTAGATAGACATAAAATACATCAAATATGGAAGGGTACTGGAGGGCACACGTGGGAATCAGACATCAGGTACATCAAGATACCTTTCAGCCATAGAAGGGTAACGAGACAAGTGATGGACTTGGGCTACCTTTTATTTTTCACAGGAATGGCAATGAAGATGCTCCTTTAACATATAAATTATGCTGTATAGTTATAATCAGGCTTTCCAGTTCACAGTGCTATTTCAGAATAATTTTTTTTCAAAAGTGTACATTATACAATAAGTGCATTATAGATATTCAGCATCCAATTTTGTTTCTGACAAAGAAAGAAAAGAATTACTTCCAGAGCAAAGGATATCTTAAATTTAAATAGAGTAATGTGGGGAGTTTTGTCACAAGAATAGAAGAAAAAATAAAAACTTTGAGATTTTGGACATAAGATAGAATGATAAATTTTAGTGATTAAACTAGTGATCGCTCTGATGAGAGATCATGTAGTCTCTTAATTTTCAAATTGCAAATTCATTAAGATGCCTCAGAAAGTCCCAAAGGCCCTTAAGCGTAGACAGCAAAATGAACTGGTTAGATGCAGAGCAATCTCCACTATTAAATAAAAAATAAATAAATAAAACTTGGTTTTATCTCCTTTACTAATTAGAATTCTGTATAAAAATTTTAAAAGTTGACCTAATCCATTTTTCCACTTCCAGAAAAGATTATGGTATCCTCCTCCCCAAGTAGAATGGTTAATTTAATAAACATTTGCCAAGAACAACCTTGTGCCAGTCAATAAGGGAAACCCTGGCTTTACAGAAGAGAATAAGACGAGAACCCAAGTTCAGGAAGTTTGCAGTCTAGAAGGGGAGACCAGCAGGTAGGCACATAGGATAATATCTAATAAATACTTTAATAACACCATTTACAAGGGACACACATAGAGGGAGTTCCTGATAACTTGTAGGAATTTTTCAGTAGGAAAGGGTAAAAGGATCATTCTAGTTAGAGGGGAAACCCATTAGAAGCATGGACCTATAAAGGTTCCCAACCCTATCAGACCTAACATGTACATTCAATAACAAACATTTTATAATGCACCCTTTATTGTTAAATAAAATCACATATAATAGTTACATGCCTAGTTTACCCTACCCTTAATAAAAGAGAATAAAAGGAATATTATCTGTAACAAAATAGTATCTTTTTGAGTATATAAATGCCTCGGGCATGTATACATTAAATAATATAATGAAGTTCTCAGGAAGTTTTACATAGATTTAATGAGTAAGCTTGTATTTAAACAAAAAAAAATCAATATTCAACTGAATATTATTGTATTTTTCTTTATATTTGCATCCAGTAAGGATTGAAAATTTGTGTCTATGGTTACATGTATGCATATGGATAGGTGTATATTGTCCCATATACAGCCCAGAACTCTGCATCTGTGACAAGCACACATGTAGACTGATGATATGATGTAGTACACAACTACCACAAAACCTGCTGTCATTGAAGATATCACTTTATGAGGCAGTAAACCAGTCTTAGTCAAGATTCAAATAAAATGAGCTAGTCATCTCTCAATTTACATGGTAGCTAAATTCCTGGAAAGTTTAATGAATATTAAAATGCACCAAGGTAAATTTCTTCTTATATTTAAAACCAAGTTTCAAGGATGAATGACTAAGTTTGGTTTTTGCATATACAAACGACTGGTAGGACACTGAAAAGTTACATAGCACATGGACAATTTCTGTTATTGTTGGAGACTGTTGCAGACATTACAGGATTTCCACCTACCTCATTATATTAGCAAATTAAGAAAAAAAATCAAGAGGATTGTGTCAAATATGGTAAAGATAAAAGGTACAAGAGGGACTGAAAGTAAATCACTGAGTCAGGTATGCAGTAATGATATTAATTAGGTGTAATATTGGCTACAATGCCAAACTGAAGTGGCTTCAAGAAATGACCATAACAGAGCCCCTTCTTGCCAGAATCTTGGTAACAAATCAAAGGAGAATTCCAGTACTGGAAGGCTGCGCATAGTGAAGGAAAGGCTTATTATATTTTGAATCTTGGGGGTTTTTTTCCCCCTAAGATATTTATCGACTAAAAAGAAAGAGGAATGGTGGAGAGAGTATTAAATATTGACAAGCAAGGCTACTGAAGATGCCTGAGAATGTGAGACTGAAGGGAATTTGAAGTTTATGTGGGGACTCGAGCCTGAGGGACACTCTTTCCTGTTGTTCAAGAGGATAAACTGTCACAGGTAGTGCTTTTATAGATAAGCTTAGAGGAGGAATGGGGTTTAAGGAGTTCCTGTCTTTTACATTTTAAAGTCTAATTTTAAAATATTCTGACAAATTCTGAACATACATATTACTACCAAATTAAAATACAGTCTCACTACCAATGTAGATCTTAGAACTAGAAGTAACCACAAGAAATT